GATCCTATTTCATCCTCACATTCTCTCTCTCTCTCGCTCTCTCTCTCTCTCTCTCTCCATCCCTCCCTCACCCACACTCCCTCATGGTCACTCTCTTAAGTGATTGCTACATTTCATCTCATGGTAAATCGGCCGTCAACCCGGTGAGCTATCATTATGCAAATGATGGGCAATTCAATTTCAGTTGGTCGGAGGGGGAATTTCTAATTAGGGTGAGGCACAGCTCTCAAGATGGAGAGAAAGATGTAAAGGCAGAGAGAGAGAGGAAGGCAGAGAGGTGCTGTGAATGGATAGAGGAGGTAAAGGGGTGGAAGGGAAGAGGAAGGCAGGAGAGCGGGGGGTGGAAGAGGAGAAGTATCCATCCACCGAAGTCAACACCTGCATTACAATTACACTGGAGTCCCTTCCTCCTGCTCTGCCCATTGTTTTTCTTCTTCTTTATCCAGTTAATTTTAATAAGGCACTCGTTCTGAGAAACTAGAAAATGACACACATGAAAAGGTTTCTCACGCTTAAGGCCAGATTTGTGAAAACATGTTGGTGTCTCAAAATTCAAGAAAGATGAAAACAAAAAAAGTCTAATCACATTGATACTAAACTTTTCACGACACCGTGGTTAGGACAGTTCTCAAATTAGCAAAAAGACGGTTTCATATGGGGAGAAAGAAAGGCTACTTAGTGTAAACTATAAATATATACCTCTGACTCATCTGCTACTTTCAGTAGGTCATTACAGCTGTCTCATAACTTGTGGCAAGTCATACATGAAGGGGAAGGTGGGGGGTGCGTGTCATACATTGAATCTAAATCCGAATCATTTTGCATTGTTTCATGTATTATAGGAATTTACTCTTGGTTGTCAGAACCTCTTCTGAGGCGAGTCAAAGTCGACTTTCAAGTCTTGTCAAGGTCTCACGTTAAGCATCAGACCATTAAAATGAAACAACATCTGAACTTGGGCCGCAACTAATGATCATTGTCAGTATTGATTATTTTCTAAATGAATCTATTGATTGTTTTGTCTATAAAATGTCTATGCTGAATGTACAAATGTGCAAATGTCGGCCATGTTTACTAGAAAAATGGCCCAAATGATTAATCGGTGATCAAAACAGTTGCTGATTAATCTTCTGCTGATTGACAAATTAATTATTCAACAAGTTGTTTCAACTACAATGGGAATATTTCAAGTCTAATAATAAAAAATTCACAGATTTTTTTCTGGATTTCTTGGATCTGCTAAACATCAAGTCTCATTTTTGTGACGTACAGTTTGAATCCAAGCTTTAGGGCTATGGTGCACTGGCTATTTCACAACTTTTAGTTTCAGGTTTTAGTTTAGTTTGGTGCATGTGGACACATACTGAACAGGGACGCTGAAAAACATGGGCAGTTTTATACATCTACAAATTTGAAATCTCTTTATATTCAGAGGCGTCGTTAACAAGCTCTGCAGAGTGAGGGTGAATAATGAGATGTCAAGTAAATGAACTGCACTGTAGGCTACATGTACATGTACATATTGGTTTAGAGTGTACACAGGTACAGTTTGGTATCATATGCAGTAAGCAGACTTGTCTTTCTCTGGGTGGGAAATTAATATTGAGTATTAATCACTGGTAATTACATTTTAAACACACATTAGTTTCAATGTGTCACTCAGTCTCTTTACAGCACCTTTATAGCAAAAACCTTTAGCGTAATTGATAAAATTTGCTTCGGTATCAAAGGACTTAACATGATGAACACAATTATCACATCAGCAGTATCTGCAGGTTTGTGAATTACATTTTCACAAATGATTTTTCATGTTGTTGTGCTGCTGTCAGACGGGACCAGTCCTGTGCAGTAGGTTTATTTTGATGGAGCGTCCCTTTTTTTCTTCCCATCACTGTAATGAAACATTGGGCTTGTCAGTGTTTTTTATTTATTCAGCAGCCCAGAGGGACAACATGTTTCCTGCAGGGAGAACAAAAGAAAAAAAAAAGAAAAAAAAAACAACACTTGGTCAAACTGTTTCATCTTGATTGAGTGAATATGCTCAATTTAGCTGAGGGTTGTTTGCATACTCAGGTAGTTTGTGTCTGTGCGTGTTAGCGCTTAGTTAACAGTCAGTTATGATTTGAAATGTGTTGGTCTGTCTTTATCACACACCAGCCAATATGTCTTTGTGTGGGTGTGGGAGTCAGTGCACATACTATATTCATGCGAGCATTTTGACTGTTTTCGCACATCCACACTTACTGTATCTGAACATGTGTAGGTGTACCAATGTGTTCGGTATCAACCATACATTCACACAAGCACTGACACATACATACACACACACACACACACACACACACACACACACACACACACACACACACACACACACACACACACAGACACACACAGAACAGAGGATTCAGCTGAGATCAGCAGCTCACCCTAGGCTGTCAAATATTCTGTCAGCACAGCCCAAGAATCACAATTGGACTCTTTGGGAGGCATTAATTCAAAGCACCGTAACAATGCTCTCTGAAACCAAATCAACTGCCTGTAGTCAGCATATCAACTCTCAACTAACTCTCTCCCTCTATCGCTCCTATCTCCATCTCCGCCTCTCTCTCTCTCTCTCTCTCTCTCCTTGCCTCCTCTCTCGCTCTCTGTCTTTGCTGCCTTGTCTTTTCCTATCCTCACTGCCTCTCTCTCTCTCTCTCTCTCAAATGTGTGATTGAACTTCTAAATGTGTTGCTAAAGCTGACTTACTGTACAAGACTGCCCAATATAGAAAGCAGCTTCCTCTACAGTTCAGATCTTGTAAAAGTAACACTGTTATTTGAGGTAAATGCATCTAAACTAAAAAAAAAAAAAATGAGCCAAACATTCCAGTACTGATCTGATTTTTAAATTCAGTCCAATTTCAAACAATACTTGACCATATTACTGTAATTGAAAACATAGTACAGAGAAATGAAATGTTTTGCTTTGCTTGCTTTTACTTTTAAATGGACAAGGCCACATCCAGTTTGTTTTCTTCATAAGGACACAGAGTAATGCAGATAGCAGATGTCACCGTCTCATTACAAAACAAGATGTTTTGAAGCTGTTGGCTGCAGCTAATCATTATTTCTGTTATTCGGTGATCTGTTCATTATTTTTCTGATTACTGAATTAAACGTTGGCCTGTAAAGTGTGAGTAAACAGTAAAAATATTCCCATCACGATTTTCTACAGCCCCTGTTGACGTACTGTTTTGTCCAATTAACACTCTGAATTCCAAAAATATTTAATTTACAAGGATATAAAACAGAGAGAAGAGGCAGATTTGACAAGCTGGTACCACAAAATATTTGGCTTTTATTTTTTAATAAATGGATTATCAAAATTTTTGCCCATTCAATTTTTATTCAGTTAAATTTCTTTTCAATACTGCTCATCATTATGTCTTTTTATCAGTGTTACTACGTTACTTAAAATCTGTATACCGACATTTTTATTATATTTGCTAGGTTTTGTTAAAGGAAACATCAGAACATTTATATCACAGTCACAGAATTTCTCATTAAATCAAATAACAGATGCAGCCTGACATTCGGGCGTCTCTGCACTCCTCAGCAATCCCCAATTTGTTAAGGAATTATTCTCTCCAGCTTCTGCCTGTATTAAAATAATCTATCTTTTGCCTGTACCTCTACTGGAAAAAACAGACAGAGAAAGAGAAAATCTCCTGTTTTTATATTAGCTAAATCTTCTTCTAACCATCTGTTTTCTGCCTTTAACACACTAGTTGTGGCTAGCACACAGCAGAGGTGCTGGCTCTGGCTTGTCAGTTGTTGGTTGTAAGTTGTATTGTTGTAACACCATGTTGTTTTGGCTTCAGGAAACTGCCTCATAAAAAAAGATGAGGGGCTCAGAAAAAAAAAAAAAAAAAAAAAAGATAAATGAAAATGAAAAGTTTCTTTTCTCCCCTCTGTATCAGAGAGAGCAAGGGCACCGACTGCACTTTATTAATGTGCTCCATCTCCTTCGCTTTTGTGTCAAGTGTAATACAAAGGGCAGGTGTGTGTCTGTGCGAAAGAGGAGGTGAAAGAAAAGAGAGTGAGCAAATTTCTATCATCAGGAGTTATTCCAGCGCATGTTATCCTCGGTAAGAGGTGTTAGTGTTATACAGGTCTTTGTTGCATCTTTAAAATTGCCTTTCATGTAAATATGAGACATAATTCATCAACTGATTGCTTGTCTCCTACATTCAACTTCAATGTAGATGAAGCTTGATTACTTTTCCTTTCATTTGAACTGAAGCACTTCAGTCTTTAATTTAGCACTGTGATGAATCCTACAACAAACTGTACTTGACTGGAGCAAAAAAAAAAAAAGAAAAAAATCTTTAATTACATCTATAACTTCCACTTTCCTGTGTGGAGAGTTCAAAAATGCAGCATTCAATCCACTCAATAATCTGCACTTGTACTCGGCTGTACTTAGCATCTTAGCTTTGGTGCAATTTTAGATGCTGCTGTTGAATTTCCTATCGCACCTGAAAACATGCAGCCAAGCTCTACATTGTTGTTCCAGTAGATACAGAATCTGCGAGAGGCGTCTGTCGCTGCCGCGAGACACACACAAGTCAAGTTAGGAAGAACAAGAAAAAGTCAGGGAGGAGAAAGGAAAGCAGCACTCTGTCACAGAAGTTTGCACAAAGTCAGAAACTCAAACTGTGATAACTGGTTTACATAACCTCCACCATCACCATTAGACTGTGCCACAATCGAAAGGCAAATGTGACCTTCTCACCTTTACTTTCCATTGTACGATTTAAGTGTTAAACGACGTCAGGGTGCATTTGCATTTTAACACATTTCTTTAAATGCCAGTAGACCGAGGTGAGAATGGAGATTAATTGAAAAAAAAAGTGTGATACCGTCACAAGTATAGATAAATACATATACAGATTGATAGGTAGCAAGAGGGGGAGAGAAAGAGAGAAGCCGATGTTAGAGGTTCAGCTTGAGAATTTCCAGTTGATGTATTGTGCTCCAGTGTAAATCATGATCTGTGTTGACTAGTGGAACAACAAAAGCTATTGGAGAAATATAAACACAAGATAGGGCAGCGAGAGGAAGGGTGGAGGTGCAGCGTCGAGTCATAGAAAACAAGGAGGGACAAGCCGACCGAAGAGGACAAGTGAAGATAGGAGATGGAATATGAAGGCAAACCTGCGGTAAATTTAATTTAATAATAATAACAATAGTAATACTTAATTTGTATAGAACCTTTCACACAAAAATCAAAGTGCTTTAACTTTGAAAACAGTAAAAACAGGAAACACAAAATAATTTGAAAAGCAGGTAAAAATAAAAGTGCTCAGTGTTGCAGAGAAAGCAAGCCATTTGAGATTTTTAAAATAATAATCCACTATTCAAAAAATAGACATTAGGATGCATAAAAGGTCATAATAAAAACAACATGTGGGACACCATGTGAAGCACGCACATCATAATAGGTGTCATTTAAGGATTTCAGCAGAGCCTGCCTCTCTTGTACCTTTTTGGGTAGGCTGTTCCACAGTTTGGGAGCAGAGCTAAAAAAAAAAAAGCAAAAAGAAAAAAAGCTGCATTGGTGGGGTTTCGGGTTGCTCGAAAGCCAGCAGCAGAGGATCTAAGGGCTCGTGGAGGAACATAAAGCAACAGGGAATCTGTGATGTAGGCCTGTCCTAAGCCCTTGAGAGCTTTGTATACAAGTAGAAGGACTTTAAAATCAATTGTAGAAGATACAGGGAGCCAGGGCAGTGTGGCTAAGACTGCAGTGATGTGTTCTCTCCTCTTTGTTTTTGGTCGCAGTCTAGCAGCAGAATTCCGGATAAGTTGTGACCTCTGAATGCATCAGTGCATAGCAGTAGTCTGGTCTATTTGAGATGAAAGCATGGATGAATTTTTCAGCATCTTGTTGGGTCAGGAATGGCTGTACCTCTGCAATGTTTCTGCCACATCGGTCACTTTGTTTATATGTGACGTAAATCTTAAGTCTAAAATAACACCCAGACTTGTTTTAAGCAGCTCATAACTTTTGGTTTTGGGGCCAACTAATAGAATTTCTGTCTCATCTTTATTTAGTTACTTTGAGTTTTTAGTGATTATTATCATTATATAATGAGTTGTTCCCACCATAGAAGCACCAGCACGAGTGTGTCGATACATAAAAACTCACATGTGTTTACACCAGGAATGGATGGAGAGTCAACCTGCGGTCAGCTATAAATAGCCTCGGCTCAAATGCTAGTGTTGGCTGGATGTTCCCAATGGTGTGATCAGTAGTTGGAGTGTCAGTAGTGGCCTGAGGCAGGTAGCCCCTGGGTACATGTCCTGGTTATGGTCGAGCTGCTTAGGCCTTAACTGACACACAAACATGCGCGCACACACACGCAACTTATCTGTTTGCCTCTCTCTCTTCAGGTAGCGACACTGAAATAAAAATAGTACATTCATAGAAATACAGCCAAATGGAATATGAAATAGCTATTGATGTAGGCGAAACTAACCAGAAATATCTAAACAATAACAAATAAATGGACATGTACAATACGCATCAATATGTTTTTACAATTCAGGTCTGTTTCTTGCGGCCTATAGTAATCAATGCACTGTATTGATTTATTATATTACACAAGTACTGGGTTCACAATAGGCTTTAAACACATTTTTCTTCCTGGACCTTGAGTCATATATTAATGCATGCTCCTTTCTCTTCCTGTATTATAGTTTCTGGTATACTGTAGGTTATAGTTTCAGTCTGTCCTTCGCTTTGAAATAAACAACACTTAAATGTCAGCGTCTTCAAGGTTTATATGCTAGAAATGGAATACTGTAGATATCACTGAATCCTTCCCAAAGTCCCTGCAAAGTAAATAAAGTTTTGATAAAACTGACTGACTGTTTTATTATTATATACTAAGCATTACTGTAGTACACACAACCTTTCAAATTAAAATCTAAATTCAGCATCTGTGTAAAAGCTAAAAAGTATGAAAACCAGAGGTGTCAAACACCATGGAGATCATACCTGTATCATCTAATGTCAAATAAAAAAAAAATATCACACATTCATGAAGTAAAATGATTCATAGCAATGCAATATGCAAACCAATGTTGCACGCTGTAGCTAGGTTTGTCTCTAAAAAAAAACCACAGAAGAAGTGAATCATACTCTGTTATTGACTGTTAGACCACCACCGCTAGATATCAAACTGATATTATGTAATATGTTTATGCAACGGAATTGACAGAACAATGTGTTTTATGAGTTAAAATATCAGCAGCAACAGCACTAAAGGGAGCAGAACGGAACTGTGTGAGGCTGAGTGGCTATTGGAAATGAAAGTTATTTTGTATTATTGATCCTCTGATGTCAATGTGCATGCATTGTTGAGTGCATACTGTACATACAGTGTGGGACACTGTCTCTGTAATGTATAAATACAGTATGTGTGCACATGCATGACTGTATCTGTGTGTGTGTGTGTGTGTGTGTGTGTGTGTGTGTGTGTGTGTGTGTGTGTGTGTGTGTGCATAGGTTGTAAGCACTGTATACCATAGATGAGTGATAGGGTTTCCCCATAAGCCGCTCTAGGCCTCGCATTCCTCTCATTGGTGGAGTTTGATGTGTGCAGGCCTTTCAGCTAATCTGGGAAGAATGTCGTCTACAGACACACACATGTGTTCCATTAAGTCCAGATCTGCGTAAATAATATAACATGCAACAGCTAACGTTACAGGTAACTATACCCCCACAGCTGTGCCTTTGGCTTTGCAGTGCCCCACCAGCTCAGCCTATAAAAAGGCAAAGCCAACACTCATATCTAATGAGTAGATGTATCCCAGTGCAGACGGTGGTTTAAGAGGCTGCTGATTTTTACTGATTGGATATTGAGGCCATATTCTTTTTTTCTTCTCCTTTCAAATAAAAACACGTGTGATGTGATTAAGATGTGCGTATAAAAATATTTTACAGTTGAGCTATAGACTGGGAATATATTTAATGACACATCAGTCAAAAATATACGGTACTCCATATACTTATAGATCCGATAATATCATCAATGTATGAGTTCAGCCTCGATCAAATAATGTGTTGGGAGACCTTTCAGTTACTCATTGTAGTTTAAAACGTGCTGTGTCGCACTTGTCCCACTGAATGTACTTTTTCAACATGATTCGTCAGGCACAATGTGAACCTGCCACATGCATCAGTATAATGAGTATCACATAAATCTGTACAGGAGCATAAATGTTTGTCACATGGCAGGAGCCGTGCGAGAGACCATATAAGTGCCCGACTTCCTATCCCCACCCCTCCCCCTATTGTTAAAGGTTCTAGATCCAGACGACCATCATTGGGTCTTTGTGTTTATTGTCTGCCTGATGTGCTTGTGCTGATTGGCTCGATCCGACCGAGCGACAGGACAATGTTTGCTTTTGCTGTCTGCCTGGGGAAGTCCCTCTTGTTCTCAAACAGGCCCAGCCGCAGTAACTGATACAAAGTTCAGAGGATGCCAGTCTCTTCCTGGTGTGGTGCAGCATCTTCCTGTGGCTGCACACCAAAGTTAGTTAGAAACTGAGTGAGCGATTTGTTTATGTGCGCATTTATTTTACCTTCACTGTTCTCAGCCAGGATTACAGTAACATGAGCAAACAAGTCAACTCTCCTGCTACTGCTCTATTTCGGTCAGAACGAGAGTGTGGGTGTGCGAGATTAAAAAAAAAAAAAAAAAAAAAAGAGGTTAGACTCAACATGGTGTCAAGTAGAGATGGAAAACGGCTGGCAGCATCTGGTTTTGGTAGAAATATCACAGAAACCTAAAGCCAGCCAGAAAGTGAAAGAGAGGTGACGGGGGTGATAGTGTCTGAAGTGAGGACTAGAAAACAAAAGAAAGGTGTCAGAGAACAAGTGAGGAGAACAATGCTTCTTGCACTTGCAAACTGTTGTGAGCCAGCAAGGAAATGTGAGGAGTTTGGCTGTTGCTGTTCTGGGTGCCAGCACTCCTAATGAGTCTGTCAGGGCCAGTTAGCGCAGCCAGGCCTTCTTGTGTCCCCTCCAGGCCGCAGACAGCTGTTATTAGCCCCGTAATGGCATGCCACAGGGCCAGATTAGCCTGGCACACTGGAGAAATATCAAACATTCACTTACTGTGGCTCCTTTGCTGGCTAAAGCAGCTATTCTGCGAGGCATTCATTTAGCTGCGATGCTGGCAAGCTACCTAACAAGCCACGAAAGAAAAAGTCTCCAGTGAGAGATGCAGTTAGTGTACAGTAGCTCCTGTGCTGGGTAGGAAGAAAAAGAAATGTTTGACTGGAGGATGTACAAGATCGCAACATACCAGGTTATGTTACTAATACTAAATACTGTTGCATATATTGCATATATTTATTCTTAAAATTCAAAGAGAAAAATCTATATAAATTTTGAATTTGCTTTGCTGCTTTTATAAGTTGTTGGTTATCAGGCCGTTGCAGTGCTGAGGAAAGTTGTAAATGAAAGATCTTTTTGATAACGGCGCCTGCAATCATTATGCGAACCATATCGACAAGATGGCCATTGCTGTCTACTCATCTGTTTTCACCTTTCATAATGAGCACAGGAAATCAAAACCTTACACAGCAAAGTACGCTCACCCTGCCTCAGGGGACAACCTACACTGTATACAGTCAGTGACAGGCCTACGCCATTAGAGATCGGCATACTGTTAATAAATACGGTGCACTGCTCTGCATAGGATGCTGCTTATAGGGTATAAATCATGCTCTTTGAGCCTGCTGTTTCTTGAATGTCTTTCATGCATGGTATGTTACATAAGCTTCTGCATACATTGATTTGTGGCTTTCATTGCACGGCAATCGCTGTGCATTTAGGCCCATAAACACAATCTGCAAAGGTGTGTTTATGGCGGTTCCACTGTAAAATCTGAGGCCCTTGCTGTTCTCGTGTGTAGACCTGATGCATGCTTGCTCGAACCATGTGACGGGCTAGAAATGGAAGGCAGTTTTGGTTGGTTCAGGGATTTTTTTTCTCACCTAACTGTTAAATATAGTTAAACAATGCATTTTCACTGCGTAGCAATATAAAGCCCTGCCCTTGAATGTATTTGTGTGTGTTTGTGTGTGCGTGTGTGTGTGTGTGTGTGTGTGTGTGTGTGTGTGTGTGTGCGTGTGCGTGTGCGTGTGCGTGTGTGTGTGTGTGTGTGTGTGTGCGCGAGTGTGATTTCTCAGTTTGTGTGTCTGGTGACCTGACAGAATGAATGTTAAAAAGAAGAAGGTGGGACAGAGCAAAGCAAGTAGAAGAAGTGTGAGAGAAAGATAATGTGGTATTTGTCCTCATTAGCAGACTGCATGGATCAAGTGTGGCGAAGCCATTAAGAGCTATGCATTGTAGGCAGCATCCATAGTCATCTCCAAATATAAATTCATGTTTTTTTTTGTTTTTTTCCTCTCTCTTATTACCAGTTTCTTCATCACCAGCTGCAGCATTTATTTCAACAGCAGGCAGCATTCAGAAGTTAAAATAGACTCTCCAACACCAGGGACAAAAGGATGTAGCTCATTCTATCAGTTAACACAAATACACAATAGGTGTTCCCTGTTGCATAAATCAGGTGACAGAAATGACGTGGAAAATGTGGGCCAGCTGTTCCTGAAGAGAGGTGTTCACGTGACGACGGCACAGGAATCACAGAGGTGAAGTGAGATGAGCAGAGCTGAGAGTGATAAAGACGAGCAGCGAGACAGAGAAAAGTGAGATTTGAGGAGAATCCCGGGATGTGCCCCTGCTGCGACTGTGGGCCACGGTGCGAACCCCACCGAGTTGCACCGTCTTTCCCTGGCAGGGACCACTTGTTGCGAATCATTAGCTTCCCAACCACCGAGGGCTTCGCCACCACTCCTTTGGGTTGTGTTACACAGCTAAAACCCACATGGGGAAGTGCAAGGAGGAGCTGGCAGGCTTAGAGAGCACGCCGCACTGTAATTATCAGCTGTGTAACGTATAGAAAACCGGAGTCAGTAGACTATAGCGGTAGCTCAGGAACCCTGGCCACCAAACACAAGAGCTTAGTTCCATTAGTGCCGCTGATGAGCCAACCTGATCCAGTTATTATGTGTGGTACATCACCATGAGGTGATGCGATTTAACATGGCAGCCAATGTGCAGGCTTTGTGACGTGGCGGAAATTTATGAAACGAACACTGGTAAACAGACTGGAGTATGTACAGTACATGGCTTTACTGCATGACCCCTGCTCTGTAGGAAAGTAAAACTTAAGTCACTTTGAAACTGAATTAGCTGGAAACAAATGTACTTCAAATCTCTATCTTTTCATTGTGATTTTATCATCCATGTGAATTCTCTGTAAAAGTAAAGAAAATAGATTTAAAATCCCCCCCCCTCTCTCTCTCTCTCTTTCTCTCTCTTTCCCCCCTCCAGAGCAGATACGGTGCTGCAGATCGAGGTGTGAGGCTCTACAGTTCCCTGCCCATGCGCCCAAACCCTGACGGCAAGAGACTGCCCTCTACTGGGGTAAGACTCACCTCTCCCAGCCTCCCCCCAACCCCCCCACCCCCCTCGCCATCCTCACCCCTCCTCCCTCACCCCTTGGTCTCATCATCCATACCTCCATGTACCTCCATACCATATTTTAACCCCAGTCCCATCGGCACAGCAAGACAGTCCACGCACAGGATTAGAGGGACATATCAGAAGCAGTGTAGTTTTTTTTTTTTTTACTCACTAAATTTTAGCTGCCCAGTAGTTGCTGGGAATTCCTATGATAGAAAGCTAATGGGTAGAAACAGCTGATGAATGTGATCGCCAATATCTGGACTTAAATCATGACACCACCTTCAGCTACCATGACTTTCTTCATTCTTTAAGCCCACATGCCACATTCCACCATCACCACTACTACTACTACTACTACTACTACGACTGCTATACTGCTACTCGCCCTATGGGCTCTTCCCACGCTTACTCTGACAGACCTGCTCCGTCCTCATCCCCAAAACCATCATTGGCCACCACAAGCACCCATCTGACTTGGTGGTTTGTGTGGTATCTGCCTGGTAGCTTTTCAGAGAAGCGTGCTGCTGCTGCTGCAGCTGATAGGCCAACTAACTGCCTGCTACTGTTTTTTTGTTGTGGCTTTTTGGATTCTTCTGCTTCTGACCTATTTTAGTTGAAAAAGAAAAGAAAAGGTTGATTAAGTGTAAAAAAAAAAATATATATATATATTTTGGTAATTTTCTCTTTTTTATGATATTGTGAAGCAGCTGTATTTGGACAACATAGTCTCATTTTTTAAGTTTTATATGTAATTGTTCATGAAGACGCTTGGAAAAAGAAAGTTTACTGAAGTTTAGTGATGCAGCACTTGCAGCACTTTGACTTTGACAAAGTGCTGGAACAGTCACTCTAATTTGTTTGTGAAACCTTTCTTTCATTTTTTTAAAAATAAAAAATGAAATCTTTCAGTATTGTGAAAATCATAATTAGAATCTGGCTTTGCCTTGCTTTTATGCATTTATGCATTTATGTAACAAAGGAGAGAAAATGAAAGAACAATAGAGCGAAAAGAGAGAATTTAATTTCATATGTCTCCCTTTTTCATGTTTCACTTCATGCAAGTGCTTTTTGAATTATCTCTTCACTGCTCCGGGGCTCAATGAGAGGAAGAGTGGGTGAGTGAGGGAGAGACAGAGTAAGAGAGACAGACAAAGCGAAAGCTGCATAATATTGTTGGTGCGCACCTTTTTTAATTACAACAGAGATTGTATTGATGTCTCAGGCCACATGTCCTAAATCATTTATCAAGGGGGAGAGTGCTAACAAAGCATTTCTGAGAAACCCATCCTCTCCCAGGGCCTGGAATCATACGTTATCTAAAGTGAATATAGTTAATGCTGTTCTGTGGAGAGACCCACTTACAAATCATGGGAATGAGTTCCTTGTCAGGACATGCGTGAGCTAGTTAAAGATATATATCCACTTGCATCTGATCCTATGTTGTGCAAATTCAACTCTGCGTCTAAATCTCTGTGCAGAAGTTGTTTATAAAATGACGAGGGCTGCGTTAAAAGTGACAGATAAACATTAATGTAAGGAAAAGAACATTTCTTAATCTACTAGTTGTTGCTTCGTTCTGCAAAAACTTAAAGCTTGCATCTCTTGCACAGATTGGAATTTATCAAAAGGAGACAATACGTGCTATTTTCTGCTCCAATCTTTGGTTTTGTGTCATTTCCTTTTGTCTGTTATTACCTGGGTGCAGCATCAGTACAGTAGCAGACTTTAGCTACAGGCTGCATGGATAGGAGGAGAATATAAACCACTTAACATGCAGGAGGAAACCAGACGTTTTTCCATTGCACTTATCAGGTGCTGCGGTGAGAGCAAGTGTCAAGGTGCAGTAGGTCCCTGCCCCCCCCCCCTTCCCTCTCAACCCCCAGCTCCTCTCACCCATCCTCTCCTTCCTCCCCTCTTCCTTCCCCTGCACACCCCTTTTATTTTCCCCTGATCTCTATCTCTGTCCCTCCCCCCTCCCCTTCCCTCACCCTCCACCACCACTCACCACCCTCGGTTCAGTTAAAAGTGGGCTTGGCACTTCCGCAGCAACCCCCCCACCTTCACCCCCATACCACCACCACTTCTTTTCTCTCTGTCAAACTAACCTCCGACTCCTGCTCTTCACCTCTATGTTTCCTGTCAAGGTGCACTGCCCACCTCCCCCCTCCTCCCAGCCACCGGCTCTGCCCCCGCAACCTTTTCCTTTTCTTTCTTTCAACATCTATTATGGCTCTAAATGCCTACAGTTCATTTTTTAAAATGCTCAGTGCAGAGGGCGTGACCCTCCCAGCGCTCTGTAGTGATCTTGCCACCCCTGCATATTTACAAATGTTTGTGTGTGTGTATGTGTGTGTGTGTGTGTGTGTGTGTGTGTATGTGTTTGGGAGCTGTATATTGATTGGTCTTATTAATGGGAATTTGGATGAATCTATCTCAAACTTTAAGTGCACAATGAATAATGGCCATTAGTCACGAATGTGTTCAATAGCTTAAGATATGAACCTCTTACTGATTTAACTGGAAGGAAAGCTCGGTTTGAAGCTGGAGACATGAGGTAGTTAGCCTAGCTTAGCATGAAGAGTATGTTGAAACAGCTAGCCTGGGTTTGTCCAAAGTTAAAAAAAAGAAAAGAAAAAAAAAGTCCACCAATCAGCACCTCCAGCGCTCACTCATTAACACATTCTAGCTTGTTTGTTTAATCTGCACACAAAGACACATACTGTAGAAGTCGCGGCTTCCAATACATACAGCAACTCCCTCAAAAAGCACTAATTGTCATTAGACATGAATGTCGTGTATGGATTAGACTAGTGCGAGACAACATGTAAATCAGGTGTCATGAGTGGAATCTTTGGCAGAACCAGGCTAGCTGTGTCCCCCGTTGTTTTTATGCTTTATGCTAAGCTAACCGTCCCCTGACTCCAGCTCCACACTGAACACACAAACATGGGAGTGGTATAATGTCACTCCCAGAGAGAAATGTCTGTAAACTGACCAGAACCAGACCAGAAGATATTCTGTAATTGAACTGGACAAACATCTCAGAAGTGAGCCAAGACGGTACATGCACTGATGTATAACAAAGTTTTAGATTTAGATATTCAGATATTCAAACCCAACACCCAACACTCCTTGTTCTTTTATTGCTGCATTTCATAAAATGGAAATATTGTAGATGTGTTATGCACCATTTTATACACATTTCCCCAAAACTCTGCGTGACAAAGGCTCTGCCTCTCTTTGCAAACTTTTTCGATGTTTAATACGTAAACTCAGCTTTGTCACCAGTCAGTATCGTCATCTGCAATGTGACTACAGGCGTCTACACAACGAGTCGAAATAATGAAATACGTCGAGTGTTTAAGGTGATGCGCGGTGACTCTCAGAGCTGCGGGATTGGAGGTTTGTTTTAGCTCAGGTTGGATGAGCATCAGTGTGTTCTTTGCAGGGAGTCAAACTGTTTGAGCTAACATTGTAGCTGTTGTTGTTGTTTTAGCTCCACCGCCTTGACAGTGATACATAGGGTGAAGGTTCAGAATCTGCTGTAGCGCAGAGATGACAGGATCGTTTCAGGACTCCTCCTCCTTCTCTTTCTCTCTACCTCTTTCTCCTTGGTTTCTCCCTCTCTCTTTCTCCCCTGCTTTCTCTCTCTCTCTCTCTCTCTCTCTGTGTCTTTCTCTCTTTTTCCAAGCTGATTTGGAGCCTTGCATAGTCAATTATGGAGGGAGTGAGAGATGGAGTGGGGGCTCCAGCTTCCATATTTTGGTGTGATATTAATATTGCATGAGCGCTATTCTGTAGCGAATATCTAAGAGACTGCCTATTAAGGCAGCAGCAGGAGAAGAATGTGACTGACACACACACACACACGCACACACACACACACGCACACACACTGATACACACACACACACAAACACAAACACAACCACGCACGCATATTGTAGATACATACATACACAGACAGCCAGGGTGCAGGGGTGAATCAGTCAGGATCAGGCACAGGTTGTTATAATTAATGTTTTCCAGATTTATTTTGGTGGGATAATAAGAGTGACTCATTTTCCTGTTTAATATGTCATGTTTGTTTATCTTGACATGGCTCACATCACACCGCACAGTGAGTGTGTTTGATGTTGGCGAGAACTGAGGGATGTTCCACTGTAATTGTGCTAAGAATGGAATATTTTAACTAACCCACTGAATAAACAAACAAAACAGAGACACAACACAAATGCGTACTGTAAAAAAAAAAAAAAAAGAAAGAAAAAAAAAGAAATTGCCAAGATGATTGTAATATTGCAAAACAGGAGTGATTTAATATCAGCCTATTTATTTATTTGATTTTGTTCTGCTGCTGGGTGGGTATCAGTGAAGCATACAGGAAGTGTCAACAGGCTGAGAGGTTCCCCGGCGATGACAGAGAGGCTTGGCATGGACACTTTTGGGTGCTAAGTGGTGGTGACACTGCATGGTCTGTAATAGACATCTCACTTCATGCCACCACAGATTTTCATCAACATCTGATATTAAGGTGTCATGAACATAACCCACATTAATACTGTATGAATGCATAATAACACTTAGAATTTGTTAAATAGGCTTTTTTTTTGTAAACCTCAGCAATGATTGCAGTAGGGTTCAGTGACAGAGTAACAGGACTGAAATCAATAGGAGAATGTTAATAAGGATATTTTTCCAATGTTATTATACTGTGTATGATTATATTATACTGTATTTATGTGTATAAAATGAGTTGAACTCTTGTGCATTACATGAGTTAAATTTGTAACATATATAGAGAGTGTCATATAAGATAGATGTAACATATAAGATAGTGCCACCTGCCTATTAGAATTCATCACAGCCCAAGGTGACATCTTCAGATTTCTTGTTTTGTACGACCAACAGTCCGAGAAAGAAAAGATTTTCGCTTGAAAAATGACTTTTGAACTGAT